TCGATAATCCAGCAGTACTAGAAGCTTACGTGAAGAAAACAAAAGACCCGTATGTTTGTCAGCTGACTTGCTTTTGTTTACACCTTATTTGAGCTTTTTTTAAGATGCATGCGTGCGGTTCTTAGCCTCACTGTTTGTTTGTTAATTTAGATTCTCATGTAATGCCGACCCGACCGCAACGCGACGCGTGCTTTTTTATGCGTTTTATGCTGCGTAACAGAACAAAATGCATATTGTCACGGGGTTGTCTGTGTGTGTGCGTGTGTGTGTGTCCCATATTTTGTCCCGCACTTTCAACGCGGGAACCACAAAAGCTAGGCAGCTGAAATTTTAGTATAGTGTACCCCGTCAACGGATGATGCGGCAAATTTAAATTCAGCCTTCCCGTACCCGCGGGTAACACGTACGGCCCCGTAAAAGTTTTTCGGGCAAAATCAGTGTCTCGGGAACCACTGAAGATAGCAAGCTGAAATTTTATGGGTGTGTCCCGTGACCACGCACAACTCAGAAAACTCAAATTCAATCTTCCTGTACCCGCGGGTAACAAGTACAGCCGCGTGAAATTTTTGGCGGGTAAAATCATTGTCTCGGGAACCACAGAAGCTGAGAAGCTGAAATTTTATGGGTCTGTCCGCTGCTCCCGTGCGACTTAGAGAACTTAAACTCAACCTTCCCGTGCCTGCGGGCAACACGCACAGCCTCGAAAAATTTCTAACTCTGGAACCGCGGAGGCTAGGGAGCTGGGTATGCCCCTTGACCACATGCACCTCAGAAAATTTAAATTCAGTTTTCCTGCGCGCTTGGGTGTCGCGTACGGCCCAGTAAAAGTTTTGGCAGAAAATTATTTCAGGAACTATGAAAGCTAGAAAGCTTAAATTTGAGGACGATGTTTTCTGCCGCTGCAGGTATCTCACAAACTCAAATTTAACTCCCTAGGTCTTACGTAAGACCACGTGAGAATTTTGATATAAAAGTCGCTAGCTTGGAAGCCGAAAAACCACAAGATTGAAATTTGGAGGAATGTTCCCCATCAGTTTTTTCAAATTCAGCTTTCACGTACCGGCACGTGAAATTTTCAGTGGGAAATTCCTCACCTAGGAGCCAGACAGCTTATCTATTGTTTTTCCATATACGAAAGTATAAAACAGTTATATTTTTAACAAGCAACGTCCGCTGGACGGAGCTACACAAAACGC